CTCTCATACTTTGGACATATTGTCAGGAGGGAACAGTCGCTGGAGAAGGATATCATGCTTGGTAAGATGGAGGGTCGGAGACAAAGAGGAAGACCCACCAACGAGATGGATTAATGGTGTCAAGTGTGGCAGCGGTAGTGAGGTTGGCTCAGGATCGGACACTGTTTCATTTTGCTGTGCATGGGGTCGCTATGAGTTGGTTCCGACTCAATGACACCTGACAACAACAACTACTGTTGCAGAAAGGAGCTCTGGTAGCGTAGTGGTTACGAGTCGGGCTGCAAACCTCAAGGTCAGCAGTTCGAAACTACCAGCTGTTCCACCAGAGAAAGATGAGGCTTTCTGCTCTCGTAAAGATTTACAGCCTCGGAAACCCTGTACAGGGGTCGCTATGAGTCAGAACCGACTCCACGGCACATTATCATAACAACAACTATTGTAGAGTTATGTATTCCTTCAATTTTATTAGAGTTCGATTTATGTATTTTGAGGCCCTTTCCATTAGGAGCATAAATATTATGGTGATGTCCTCCTGTTCAGTTGACCCTTTAATCATTACATGATGTCCTTTTTTGGCTAATGTTATTTTTTGCCTTAAAGTCTATTTTATCTCATATTAATATTGCCATTCCTGCTGGTTTTAGATTGCCATTAGCTTGATATATTTTTTCCATTCTTTAATTGTTCATCTATGTTTGTCTTTGTGTGTAAGAGTTATTACTCTTGATGGTGTCCCACATAATTTTTAGGCTTTCTTTAGAATTTTTTCCCTTCTTTTTTTCTGATTGTTTTTCTTGATTAGTATTGTCTAAAAACTAACTAATTCAGATACAGTTGATTCATTTCTACTCCTTTGCCCCTTCAATGTATTATGTATTTATGAAATCTTAGTATTAATATTCTGGATTTATATTTTCTGTTTTAGTATGGTTTCTCATTTTTCATTTATTTTGTCAGTTTGTTCTTATAGTATTTTCCTAAATCCTTCTGAAAATTTTTCTGTGTTCTCCTTGTGTCCTTTATAGCTTTCTCGATTCACTAAAGGTACCTTAATGCCATTCTTTTGAAGTATTTTTCATGTATTTTCAATGCCATTTCTCATCCTCTTGGTCACTTATTTGAACTCAACTCACCTCTATGGCTCCAGTTTCAGCCTAACAGTTGCCAGGTGTATAAGGTAAGCAGTTATACCAAAGAAGTATGCAGTCCAGAGAGCTATCAACCATATGTGATTTAACTAATGGGCAGCGTTTGCTCAGACACAAAGTTCAGAAGGCAAAACGGGTTAGGAAAGAAGAATGCTTGGAACCAGGAAACACAGGGACAAAGTCGGGTGAATGTTATTACTTTGTGGGGATTCCAATCAGTGGCATGAAACAAAATATGTGTGAGTTGTTGAATGGAAAACTGAGTTGCACTATAAACTTTCACCCAAATTCTAGTTTTTAAAAAGTTTAAAAAATATATTCTTTAATTAAATTATCCTGTTTTTAAGTTTGAGCTTTTCTCTTTTTGTTGACAGTGTTATCAGCAAAGTCGTCCCAGCCCCCGAGGCTAAACCACCAGCTTCTCTAACTAGACCTAAGACTCCGCCCCCTGTACCAGCCACAGCACCTGTACCACTGCACATGGCTTCTTCCCTGATGCCTTTGCCACTCCTCACACAGTCTACTCCATCACCTGCTCTCATTCCTTCTCCTGCCCCTGCCATCTCTGGAGCAGGAAGTTCCAAAGCCCCTGTACGAAGTGTGGTAACCGAGACAGTCAGCACTTATGTGGTATGTTACATTTCCTTTTTACAGTACTGCAGAAAAAAATTACTTAAGAGGTTTGCTTTTACCATGAGAATGACTTCAGTTAAAAGAAAGTATCCTATGTATATTATTGAATTTCAGAAGCAATTCTTTATATTTGGTAAGGTATTTTCATTATAATTTCAAGCTTTTGAAATATCCTGAGTAAAGTTTTTTATTGCAGTGTTCAGGTGGTCTGTTTCTATAAACTAGGTTAAAGTATTGTTTTTCTGTATTGCATATGGTTTGGAGATATGAGTACATATGGATACCTTACAGTATCAGTCTACATACAGATATGTTGTTAATTGTCACCGAGTCATTTCCTAGTGATATTTTACTTGCATGTAGAATTTCTTGATCAAGCAATTAAATTATTCACCTAATGTATATATTTACCTAATGTATGTATGGCCCAACTGATATTTCTGAGTAGTCCTCAGAGGTAGCAGAACTAATTATAGTATTTTATTGGCTAAGATCCAAAGTATGCCAGTGCTTGCATATTAAATGAAAATGAACTTTTAGACCACAGAGCTTCCTGAGTAACCAAGCATGTCTTCAGATTGTAAAACTCACATGTTGAGTGAGTTTCACATTGTCCTGGGCATGTTTTTAGGTGTTCCCTGTACTTAATAGTATTAGGCATATCAAATCAAGGTTTAGCCTCAAATAGCTTGTTCTTATTCAAACCTTGAATTCAATCTAGTACTGAAGTGTTTATATAAATGTGCTCTTTGGGCATAGAGTAACACACAAACACACAGCAAAATATTTTAGCTACATTAGAAGCACTCAGTGTCTTGGCACTGCTGTGACTACCAAATACGTAAAGACATCTGTGTGCATCAGCCTGATGATAACACTGTCTTTGTGAATGGGTAGATGATTGGAAAGTGGTGGGGCACGGATCTCAATATTTGTTGTTATAAGCTCTGTAAGTAATATATCCCTTTAAAGGCATTTATAAAGAAATTTCAACAAATGATTAAACGTTTGTGTCAACAAAGAAACTCTGGTGACACCGTGTGAACCTACTAGCCATTCGCGGGGAGAAAAGATCTGGCGATCTGCTCCCATAAAGACTTATAGCCTGGAAAGCCTAGGGAACAGTTCTCTCTGTCCTAGAAAGTTGCAATGAATTGAAATCAACACAACAGCAATATAAGGATATAAAAAAGCATAAGAAAAAAATTTAACTATATTAAGGGGAGATATCAAGATATGAAAAGTTAACAGAAAATACTAAAAATTGACAATTCAAGACAAAAATAGAAGAACTGATACTAACACTGTGATCATTAAATGATTAAGGACCAGTTGCTGCACATGTTTAATTGAGGGCATAACACCCACAATGGATTGATCAGGGAAAATTGTACAGTTAACCTACTGAACCCGCATTTCTTTGTCTTTAATTAAGGGGTTTGTGGTAGGCTAGATGACCTCTAGGGTATGTTCTAACACTAAAATTCTGATTCTCTGGTGGATTTTTAACTAACTTCCTAAAATTGATCAAATTTAAATAGAGTAGATGAAAAGCTTTGTATCACCTAACTAGACATTTTGTGGATAGAGTGATTTAGAGGAAAGATACAGGTTTTAGGAGGGGAAAAGGGCTTTGTATCTTTATTGGTGTTGTTGTTAAGTGCCATCGAGTCTATTCCAACCCATAGCGACCCTGTATAGGGTTTCCAAGGAGCATCTAGTGAACTTGAACCACTGACCTTGCAGTTCAAATGACTTTGCAGTCTGACGCATTAGCCCACAGCGCCATACCAGGACTCCTTGTGTCTTTATAGTGCCTCAAATATTTAATGATTTGTTGGAATTGCCTTCCAGAACTCCTTTGTTAGTCATTGTCTCATAGGGTGACTTTGGAAATATTTATTAAATTCTCTTAACTCCAGTTTCCCCCTTTGTTTTGTGATGGTCAGTTGAAGTAAAGATATTTGAAAGACCTTAATAAACTGAAGTTTGGGATGTTAGCTATTATAGATGATATGACACGCATGCAGCACAGTCACTACCTTTGCATTTCAAGAAAGGTCAACGAGCAGCAGGACTGACCAGGCATGGTAGCTTCAGGGCACAGGATGCTGAACCATTGCTGGCTACTAGACAGCTGGCCCCTGATGACTGGTAATTGTCTCTCCATGTTACAGTTTCTCTTGACATTCAGAGGAGGTAAGTCAGAGATGTAGATGTCCACAGATTTCCTTAGGAAGCTTTGTTATCCACATAGTTTGCCTTTGTAGAGATGCTTTCAAAGATGATAAGCCTTAAAAAAAAAAAAATTCAAGCATGAACATATACATACACCCCCAATATATTTATTCATACAAAAAGCCATTTCTTTGCATCATGTAATCAATATAGTATTTGAAAGTATAGGAAGAGACTATGATCTTGCAAAATGAAACAAATTAAATTTTATATATTATTAGAAACTTTTTCACTATCAGCTTTTAATGGTTGCTGTTTTTGAATGCCTCTCATAAAATTGGGATTCCTGGTATGACCCTGTAGGATAAGTACTGGACTGCTAACCACAAGGTTAGCAGTTGAAACCCACCAGCTGCTCCTTGGAAACCCTATTATACAGGATTGCTTAGTCTCTCAATGACACCTAACACTTAACATCATAAAATTATTTCTTTCATAATTAATTTTGTTAATATAGAATGTGACAAAGTAGTATGATTAGGGCTAATTCGTATTCCAAACAAACCCAAAAGCATGTAATATTTGTAACAAAATAATGGTTCGCCTCCTGGGCCCCTTGTTTCATTTGCCCTTTAGTTGATTGTACTTTACTGAAAATGTCATAAAAGGAATGGAAAGTTACTTAGTAACAACTCTTTTATATCCTTGATCTTATCAGCTAGTTCAGGAGAAGGGCTTGGCTAATAAGTAATAAGGTGATACATGCACGTTTGCCTGTATATATTAATCCCAGGCCTATGAACGTGATGAGGAAGCTACCTATAGTTGATCTTTACAGCTTTAAAAAATATTATTCCTGCCATAAAGATATTAATAATTAAATTTTTGTGTTTATTTTTAGAGATAAGGGGCTGTAAGTCATTCTGTTCACAGAAATTATTATAAAATACCTTGTTTTTATGATTTCAGAAGAGTTTACAATATCAGGATCCATTAGAAATGCCTTAACATTTCCTTTTGACATAATTCTAGAATTATATTCATTTTAGTAAATTTTTAATCTTTTAAATATATATGTATATATCTATGTGTGTGTGTGTATGTATACACACACACACGCATACATACACACGTATGTTGCTGTTAAGTGTCAAGTCAGTTCCGACTCATAGCAATTCTGTATAGTTTCCAAGCATAAGCTGGTGGGTTTGAACCACCAACCTTGTGGTTCGCAGTCCAGTGCTGATCCTACAGTGCCACACCAGGAGTTGCTCTCTCTCTCTTTCTATGTATATATATATATATATATATGGAGCTCTGGAAGCATAGTGGTTACGAATCGGGCTGTGAACAACAAGGTCAGCAGTTCGAAAATACCAGTTGTTCCACGGGAGAAAGATGAGGCTTTCAGCTCCCGTAAAGATTTACAGCCTCAGAAACCCTGTACAGGGTCGCTATGAGTCGGAACCGACTCCACGGTATCTAACAACAACACACACACATATAAAAATATATGTGTGTGTGTGTGTGTATATATATGTGTGTGTGTGTGTGTGTGTATATATGTGTGTGTGTGTTGTTGTTGTTAGGTGCCATTGAATTGGTACCGACCTATAGCGACCTTATTATGCACAGCAGAACGAAACACTCTCCTTTCCTGGGCCAACCTCACTACTGTTGCCACACTTGAGTCCATCGATGCTGCCACTTGGCCAATCCATCTCGTTGGGGGTCTTCCTCTTTTTCTGTGACCCTCCACATATATATAAAAGGAGCTCTAGTAGCGTAGTGGTTATGAATTGGGCTGCGAACCTTAAGGGCAGCAGTTTGAAACTGCCAGCTATTCCGCAGGAAAAAGATGAGGGTTTCTGCTCCCATAAACATTGGCAGGCTTTCCAAACCCTGTACAGGGTCACTATGAGTCAGAACCAACTCCATGGCACATAACAACAAACAGCAGCATATATATACACATACTTTTTTTTTTTAAGTTTGTGTTTTTGTTAGACTGACAGTATAACTTATAGTATCCTGCCCTCTTTTTGGTTCTCCTTTCCTCATTCCGTCTCTGTGTTTGCTTCCTCCTCCTCCTTTCCAACCTTAGATCAGGGATGAGTGGGGTAATCAGATCTGGATCTGCCCTGGGTGTAATAAACCTGATGACGGAAGCCCGATGATTGGCTGTGATGGCTGTGATGACTGGTACCATTGGTAAGTGGTTCTGAACTTCCTTGGCACACGTGATGCGTATTGCTTAATCCTGACAACTTCCAGTTACTCCCTGACAGGAGAAACTCTACAGATGAGATTAGTGATTTTGGACTGTCCTGGATTGTTTCACATTCACCTATCTTAAGAACAATATATGCAATAAAATCTCTGAACCCCAGTTTCCCTAGTGCAGTACTGGTAGACTGGCTTTTTTCAAAGTACCTACGGAAAATAATCCTAAAAAAGTTGCAATTGGAACAAAAGGCAAGAATTTTGGGAGTACTGTTATTCAACCTAAATTCCAAATATTTCCCTTATTTTAGAGATGCTTCTTAGAAAAAATTTAAAAAGAGGAAATATAGATGCTTCCCATTCTTTCCTATGTAGTAATTTTCTGTATTACTAGAAAAGTGCCACATGTGACAGTAGCAGAAGAGGTAACCCCTTTTGTAAACAGGATACAAATAGTAGTAACCAAAAGACAGCTAAGTCTTGTTTTTCTTTCCCACATCTCTTCAACAGCTCCTCAGCAGTAAAGAAGTTCTATTAAAATTTATGAAATCAATCTTCCCATTTTGTCTTTAAAATATTAGATATAAAAAAAAATAGAAATCTACTTAGTTACATAGTATGTATCTATAAGATAAAAACAAAGTAGCAATTGCTCAGAAAAATTAATACTTTTTTTTGGCTGAAAGGAAGAATGAACAAATTAATTTCTCCAATAGGAGCTATAAAAGGGAGAGTGTATAATATAATCATCCACATGCCCAACAATAACGCTGCGTAAATTAGGGCTGTTTGACTTTGATTCCTAGTAAATATACAATAGATATTTAAATGATCTTAAGATAGGTAGGAAAAGAATATATAAATACAGCTTAACTTATATATTTATTCATTACCGTATAGGCCCTGTGTTGGAATAATGACTGCACCCCCCGAAGAAATGCAGTGGTTCTGTCCCAAGTGTGCCAACAAGAAGAAAGATAAAAAGCACAAAAAGAGGAAGCACAGAGCACACTGAAGTCTTCATGCAGTCGGAACCACATAGCGTCAGGTCTGGGCTTCTTTCCTGAGCCTGTGGAGGGGAGTTGGTGCAATTCTGCTATCATTAGCTGCCACTAAATTCCTAAGGAGAATGCATCTTGAAGGCTAAGGGCAATGACACACTATTCACTCTGAATTTTCCCCTCCTGTGACGGACTGGCCCCTGTGGCCTATACGGTAGTGTGATTGAAGAAAAACTCAATAGAAGCATGGCATAGGGACTGCCACATCTCCCATGTTTCTATTACCAGTGACAAGTATTATTAATAAACAATAACAAACGAATCATACATCTTCCCCTTTGATTTTCTTTATCCTCTCCAGGGCCTTTTCATTAAGGTGTTAGATGAGAAGATAATGTGTAAGCTGCCTTGACTGTAATTTAAGGATGATATCATTAGTCTGTATACAGTTTTCAACCTCTTTCCCCCTATAGTAAGATAATCATAACTACATAAAGAAAACTCCAGTTGGAGTGTTGGTAAATATTTTTGTGATGAAAATATATGAAGCTTTCCCTCCTCATTTTTAGTACTAACATGGAAAATGTTCAGGCTTTTGTGAAATACCTTATATTTTTTAAGAAAAGGGTTTCTATCATGTCCTGTTTGCTTTTGTGCAAATTATTTTTGTTTACTATAACATTTTATATCTTTGTTGCAGTGTAATTTTGTCCTTCTTTAAACTGCTGGAGTCTCTTCTCGCTGCTTATACATTTCATCAACTTGTCTAAAAATTCTTCATACTAAAAAAGATCTCCCCTAATGTAAATAATATTTATGAAGTAGTTATTTTTAAATTTTTTTATCGTGTTTAATTCTGGCTTTCTCTGAAGTCCACTGTGATTCCAGCCATGTCTGTAATTAGTGCTGTACATAAGTAAAGACGGCTAGAAACCAAGAGCCATAGTTCAAAGTGTCATACCTTGAGTTGAACCTGTGCAGTGCCCAACAATATTGTGGGGAAAAGACCCTAGCAGTTGGAAGGAAAACAAGGCAATTTAAATCTGTAGTTCATGATTTGAAATTGTTTTGTTTGTTATCTATTTTGTTTCTGTAAATTTCTTTGACTTTTATTAAAAGGACATGTAGATTCCATGAAAGTAAAAAAAAAAAACAAAAAAAAAAACTGTAGCATTTTGTGTTGATATTGTTTTATTTCTGCAAATCTGTTCATTGATATTGTGGTTTACAGCTGAAATGAAGTATATTATGAATTTAAAAAGAAAAAAACTTCTCAAATTTCAGGGTATCACAAAATTTTATTATATTACTATACTGCCCACTATTTATTATATGTTATAGATGTCTGAGAGGTAAACCAAATATTTTATTTTTAATGTAAAACATCAAATTTAATTTTATTTGCATATTTTAGCAACGTTGAAATACACATGGAACTCTTACTTGATTTTGAAATAACCCCTATTTGGACTAGTATGAGGGATATCTTGAATGCCAGAATATGAACTTTGACCCTCATGCAAATATATTAATAGACATTGTAATTTTTTAAAGATACTGAGTAAATTGATGTTAGTGTATGAGTTAGTCATATTTTTAAACATATTGTGTGGTTACAGAAATGAGGTTTTCTGCCATGAATGTTAAATCGCAGATCAGTGGAAATGGAGTTGAACTTTGAAGAGTGCAGTATTACATTGCTCTCCTTGTTTGGGAGGCCAAATGTTTCTATCCCTGCAAAAACAAAGCAAAACAAACACAAACAAAACATGTATGGTAAGATATGTGTTTTTTGTTTTATTAACTTGAGCTCATTCTAAATACTTTATACAATATTTTCACAGGCACAGATATACCCATTAGTGCTTTTTGGAGAGGGATGGGGTAGGGGAATTGCAAAATAAAGATTATTGGCTATTTCATAGTTTGCTTTTCCATTTTCTTTATTTAGGATTTAGTTCCTTGAGGCATGGTCAGTGGGTCTAAAGTTGCCACGTTTAAGTGAGCAGGTCATGCTACTGAAATAAGAATGGAGGTGCCTATATATAACTTTTCCCCAATGCTACTTACTGTCTGAGAGACTTCAGCCCATACTACATTTAAGGAATTTCAATCAGTTTGTTGTCCCTTGCTATTTCATGGTTGCTTTCCTAAATCCAGTTCATGATTTTATAAATGGTCTTTGCAATAATAAAACCAAAGAATCATTTTCAGGGGGCTGGATAGCTCAAGGGATTAGTAATGGAATACAGAGCCTTTCACCTCTAGGTCAGTGAGTTGAATCCAGTCCAGGTCAGTAGAGACCAAAAGTTGTTACCATCATATGACTGTTCACTGGCCTGTATGAAATGAACTATTGGTCTCAGTCTCCAGTGGATGGCTGTCCATGACACCAACCAAAGGAAGTTCAAGAAACTGTGCAGGAAAAAAAAGTGAATTAGAAAGTAAAACACCTATTACTACAAAGAAAAGTTAGAAAGTTGGGTATAGTGACTCTCCACAAGCTAATCCTGGCACTGGGGGCAGGGAGCTTACTAACACTATGGATGTGGCAGATTCATTTATTTTCCTTAATAAAATTGAACATGATAGGAAAAGAAAAAGTCTGTGTTAGATGAGAGGGAAGAAGGATAAGTTGGGAAAGATTATTGAATCTTAGGAAAAAAAGTTTCAGGGGTCCAAGAAATAAGAAAAAGTGAATTTTGACTTTTGAGGAAGAAGGAAATCAGAAGTAGCAGAATTGGATGAACTACCGTGATTGAGACAATTCAGCACAAAGGAATGAAAAGCATTTTGCCTTGAAGGGTTAAGTTTTCCAGGTTGAAGTAAAATCATGAACTATTTTAATTTATTTCAACACTATCATTTGGCCTTAGTATCAGTACTTTAAAAGAGAACTAGTCAAGGGGAAAAAAATTGCTCTGGCTGGTGACAATATTGGAGTAGATGGTATTTAAGGAACAGAGAGACACCCTCAACTCACAGGAAACTGAGAAGCTCTTCAAGTAAGATAATCAGCCTGCAGAGCCATGTGTAGCTAACAAGGTGTTTCTCTTCCGAAGGTGTCTGCAGTTAAGTACAGTGAGGATCTTTATCCTCTGACTGGTTTGTGGTTCCAAATGTCCTGAAGAAACCAGAGGGTATCAGAGTTTTCTGACTTTGTCGGGCTTTTTTCAGAGATAAAATATAATGCATTACTCTACTGTATCACCTGAACCGCCTTTGTTCTCCTTTCAATAGGACGATTAAACAAAGACCTACTAACCAAATTAAAGTATAAAATGAACACTGAGCTATGGAAACCCTACCAGTAAGAATGCTAATGAATGAATTTCACTAAAGGCATACTGGCTAAGTTTCCAATACAAATAGTTTTATGGCCAATCTCTAGATCATAGCAGTTTTCTTTAGAAGTTTTAACTCTAAAAGTAGATGAGTTTACCTTGACTGCAGAATGAACTAGATAATGCCCTGAATAATGTCTCTTTCCACAATGGTATCAGTCATTCTGTTAGGAAACTATTTCTCAGAGAATCTTGGATTCGTTGTAGCCTAAAAAGTATAAAGTAACTATTAATCCATGTGTGCAGGCCAATAGATGACGTCGTAATTAGATACCTAGATGGACAGCTAAGCGGTTTATTATGAATTTGAATACACATACCTATTTAGTTTATGTGTGAATTGTTAGAACAACTCTTTTAACAATTCCTTATCCTGGATAACTCAGTTTTTAGTTTGTATAAGAACAGTTTCAAACACTTTCATTCATTCATTCAACATTTTTTGTGTGAACTGCAAAAATATACAAGGGCACTTCAAGCGATTTGTGGAAAAATAGAACAAAAAGATAATGGAATTCCTCCACAAAATTTTTGAAGCCCCTTCATATTAGCTCCAAGTTCCATCTTTTAGTAATGTGATTTCTGAGCTCCTCTGGTTGTTGTTTCTCCATGTTATTCTAGGGGTTCCCACAATATTCTGTGTTCTAAATGTATTTCATCAAAGTCCATGCTTGTCGTAAACATGTTCTTTTCTCACTTTTCTACACATGATCTTTCTATCCATCTTAGACCAAGAGTTGTTTTCAATTTTGATAAAGCTTTTATGCTTTGAAATGTTTACATTTACAACAAAATAATTAAAAGTTATTGCTGTTGTGTGTCCTCGAGTCTGTTGTGACTCACCTCAACCCTGTATAGGGTTTCTGAGAGCAGCTGGTGAGTTCAAACTGCTGACCTTGTGGTTAGCAGTCCAGTGCTTATCCTACAAAGCCACACCAAGGCTGAAAAGCTTATTAGCAGGTGTTTATGTTAACTATTCTAAGAAGTAGAATTATAGATGTTAAATAAAAACTACATATATGCATATGTAAACTCCTGGCGTGGTACTGCAGGACCACTTCTGGACTGCAAAATGGAAGTTCATACCCACCAGCTGCTCCTAGGAAACCCTATACAGGGTCGCTCTGAGTTGGAACCGACTCCAGGGCACTTAATAACAACAACAAACTGTAAGATTTAAAAGCTGGATTTTTAAAACAGAAGCATATTTTGGGTACTTTCTTAGCCCTAAGCAATAATTTCCTACTATGTCCTTGGAACCAAGTCAGTATTTTGTTAGCGCTCAAATTTTATGGAGTTTTTGTTCAGTCTTATATTTAATTACAGAAATGTTTAGAATGGGACTATCTTAAACAAAACAACATAAACCTGAAGAATGTAATTGTCACTGTCCTTGATAAGTGAACTATTGTCAAGTTAAATGATTGTAAGAGAATGTTTGTGCTGATTCTATTGAACTCATTTAGAGTTATAGCAGTACTTAACAGAAGAAAGTCAAATAGTACAAGAATATTATCAGATTACATTCTGATTGTTTCTTCTTATTAAATTGTTTATAATGTTGATGAAACTTTTTTGCCAGTTTTCAGAAAATAAATTATTTATAACTGGATTCCTAGATAACCAGTTTCTTATCCTTCCTTCATTCTGTTAACTTTGACAGGACATTT